TTCACTCTTTGGAGTTGGGTCATAACTTTACTTCAGTCACTACAGACAATTACCCAACGGTCAAAACTCAAAACATATTTGCTTTCGATTGCATTATAAATTCAAAATTAAATTATTATTTTTTGCAATTTCTAAAATTGGCTAACTTTTTTACTAAACTATTATTATTACACTAAACAAATTAAGATATTAGGCAAATATGCTTATATCATTAATGTCATAAATTTGGTATTTTGCAAATATAATTTCTTTAAAAAATTAGACAACACAAACAAAATATACAAATAGTTTGTATATTTTGTTTATTCTAAATAATATCAAAATCGTTGTTCTTATTTGTATAAAAATTTCATCCATTCACTTTGTAACATATAATTTGTTTGAAAATTTTGTATATTTAATATTGGTTTTTCTTTCCTAACTTCTCATAAATTCAGAATAAATTAAAAATAAATCTAAATAATTTTCCAAATTGATTAGAATAAATAATAATTCAAACATTTGTAGTACTTCTTTCAATGTTGAAATACTATATGCAAACGAAATAAATTAAAATAGAGTAACACTATATTCACAAGCACTTCTCATTAATTTTTTCTCACAAACATCACGTGTTGGCTTGTAATTGATCAGTTTGTATGGGTCTCGTCTATCCAATAATGAATCTCACTTGACCAAACCAATTACAAGTTACCACATGGGATTAGTGATAAATATTAGTGAAGCTTATTATCCATTAAAATAATGGTGTGACAATTATACTTTGTATGGTATGATATTTGGATTCATTTGTGCTTATTTTAACTATTTTTAGAAACTTGAAGTTAACAATTAAGTAAGTCTTTAATAATTATCCATTATTAAAAGTCGTAAAATTCAAACTCTAAACTTTTTAAATAATACAGCAAGAGTTCCAAACTCAAATTATTATGGTTAACATAAACAAATATTAACAATTATTACAAGTGTAGACCTTTTAAAACTGATACAAAAATCATTTAGAACTTCAATAAAATTTCACTAAAACCCATACATAAATTTATGAAAAAGTAGAANGCTTCTAGTCTTTCGGTTAGAAATCATTGGTGGTGTTTTGGAGAGCAATTCGAACATGACAATGATGAAAGTTGGTGGCTTTGGTAATAGGATAGGTTTTGACTTATTGATTGGAATGACAAGTGATGCATGAGTATGAGCATGCTAGTGTAGGATATGGAAATTATTTATTTTTTTTTTTTTTTCGGTAAGGTTGATGAATTTTTCAAATTAGAACAATGGCATCAATCACCTCGTCGTTAGGTGGAACTTTAACATTGGAATTTGAAATGGTATGTCCATGTAAACTAGGTTTCGACATGGTGCTAAATTAAAGGATAACCATTTGAAAGCTTTAGCGAGTATTTTTCATGTAATTAGGTTTATGATATTTTACATCGCCTTTCAAGTGTGACCATTAATAGCCCATATAGCTTACACCCAAAGATTGCATTTCATTGGATATGATATGATGGGATTTTGGTTTATCTGCTTCATAAATTATAACCATTAACCTTTGGATCTTTAGTGAATTTTTAATCTTCAAAATATGTGGTTGAGAGTGATTTCTCTGAGCTCATCTAGACACTGTTTTTCGGAGCATATCTTGGACTTATTTATCCCCTGATTTAGTTGCATGATTCTTTTACTCCTTTTCTTTATTTTTTTGGGAAAATTTATAAAAGAAAGAAAATGTCTTTTCATATTAGAACGAGTGAGCATCATCGTTATTAATCTTATTTAACCCTCTTAGGACATTTTTAATTAACTTCAAATTGGATTTATCTAAAAGAAAGATAAATTCAAGTAATTACTCTTATTTGTAACTTCTTTTTTGCAGTGATGGACAACTACAAGAATGTTCCTCAGTATCTTTACGGCCTTAGTGCTTCACAGATGGACATGTTCATGACAGAAGATAACCCTGTACGCCGGCAATGTGAAAGAGTTACTGAGGTTCTTTCTCTATAGATGCTTTTTGGTAAATTTGAGTGGATTACTGATGATGTAAAACAAGCAAAAACAATTACTTGTTAATAGCTGGTGTAAACAATTCCTTACAGGAAAGCATTTCTTCAGCCCAAAACTATTTGAATAATGGGGGTATGTGGAGTCTGTCTGACATGAATGATAGGGGTCCTTCAAAGTACAGTATGAGTGTGAGCATGTATCGCGGAGGGGCCCGAGGATATGGAAGACCCAGAACTGCACCTCCTGATTTGCCTTCTTTGCTTCTAGATGCTCGGATATGCTATCTTGGAATGCCGGTGAGTCTTTTTACCATGTTGCACCACCATCTACCTACTGGCTAAATTTTCGTATTTTATGTTGCCATCTCCTTTCTGTTCAATCCTGTGCACCATTCTGATATTTTCCTCGTCACTGTTGCAGATTGTACCTGCAGTAACTGAGCTTCTGGTTGCTCAGTTTATGTGGCTGGATTTTGATAATGCTACAAAGCCTATATATCTATACATTAATTCTTCTGGGACACAGGTCAGTGTTGGACGCTCTGAAGATTTATTTTTTTGTATGAGATGCTGGTGTAAAATCAATTGTCATAGCCTGCTGGAAATGCATCCACTTTCTGCTAATCATTTGTTAATATGGTTTTTTCATGCAATTTAGAATGAGAAGAAGGAGACTGTTGGATCTGAAACTGAGGCATATGCTATAGCTGACGCAATGGCTGTAAGTATATTTATCGCTCACATGTGTTTGACTATATTTATCTGTTTCAGGAATGCATATCTTTGGTCATTATATGTTATAATATTTGTCAAAAAAATTTGCTCAATGTTCAGATTGAATCCTTTTAATATTTTTCCATACTATTAAAAGAACAGCTCCCTTTACAGTCCAATTTCTATAAAATGGTTTAGATTACTCTTTTTTTCTTTTTTCAAGTGATTTGACCTGCTTTAATGTAACCTCTGCATTTCTTTTTTATTTTTCTTAAGTACTGCAAATCAGATGTCTACACTGTGAATTGTGGAATGGCTTATGGTCAAGCAGCAATGCTTCTCTCTCTTGGGACAAAGGGTTATCGTGCTCTACAGCCAAATTCCTCAAGTATGATTCATTTTTGTTTTAAGTTTTATAGATTAACATGGATTTTTTGCGAATAATTCTACTGCTGTAGAAGCTTGTGAGGGTCACACTGTTTACATCTTCTACTTCATTTGGGTCAATGAACATGATTGGAGAATCAACTTTTACTTTGGCATACCTTATCAATCATTCCTTAATACATTTTTCAAACCAAATCTTCAATAAAATGGTTCTGCTATTGGACTGCTTCAATAATGACTGCAAGGGAAAGAACTTTGGATATGATTTATGACATTAAAATGGATTAAGTACAAATTTTATGGGACTTGTAATAGTTATGTGAGAATGATAATGGAGAGAGTAATGAATTGCTGGAGGAAGTTTTGAGTATTGGTAAAGCAGTTTGTCGATTGCATACACAGTTGACCTTTTTTTTTTTTGGCGTCATATTGCAACTTCTGTTTCTTCAAAGAATCTAATTATAAAGTTCTACGAAACATTTATTCATGGATTCGATGGTCCTACCTCATCAGATCACATACGACTTGGTATGTGCAGCCACCGATATTTGATCCCCTGCCTTTTTTAAGATGGGAACCTTAGGATAACTAGGTGGTCCCTGAACACTTGTACCACTGGGTCAGTTTTTGGGTACTTGGAGAATGATTTAAACTTTTTGTTACCCATGGCTTTATCATCTGAATGTTGAATTTCAGCTAAACTTTACTTGCCTAATGTTAATGTTGAATTGCAGCAAAACTTTACTTGCCTAAAGTCAACAGGTCAAGTGGATCTGTCATTGATATGTGGATTAAGGTGCTCCCTCTCTTTCAATATCTCTACTTCTATCTTTCTTTGAGCGTTATTCTGAACATGATTGCATTTAGGCCAAAGAGCTAGATGCCAACACTGAATACTACATCGAGCTATTAGCAAAAGGAACAGGGAAATCGAAGGAAGAAATTGCTAAAGACATCCAGCGACCTAAATATCTACAAGCACAAGAAGCAATAGATTTTGGCATTGCAGACAAGTTAATCAACGCAAGGGATACAGCTTTTGAAAAACGGGTAATGCTTTCACTTCATTGATCTCAAACTTGTTCTTTTTTATTTTTAATGCCCTGGTTGTATTCTTATAAACAAATTCTCTAAAATCAGGATTACGACAAGCTTCTTGCTCAGTCAAAAGCCATGAGGAGGGCCGCAGGAGGGGCAGGTCCGCAAGCAGCTCCTTCCGGGTTTAGGTGATTACTGATTACAAAGCTGTAATATATGATACTTAATATACATGGAATAGATTTAAGCTCGTCAAATCTTCATTTCCATATGGGATGCATCGAGCCATTGGCTACATGTGGCGCTTCTGCTGATCTATAGTAATGATGCAGACAATAATGGTGTCTATTCCGAATTTCCGATTAGTAAGCATGTAGCTTCTTCAGTTTCTAAATGCTGTATACGATGTATTTGGAAAATGGGTTAAGCTAAATTTTTCTACCAAAAACTTTTGAAAGGTGATTCTTACGTTGCTTCCTCTAATTATGCCCCCAATGTGGAGCTAGTGGATCAATTTATGTTCTTGCATGCGAGCAGCAGATACAATTTAGACGTGAATATGTAGAAAAGGCTGACACAAAAGATAAAATTTACTGATGTTGATGCAATTTTCTGAATTAGATGTTGTGGGATTTCTTTAATTTTATTTCAATCGGGTGAAATTTAGATCAGGGTAATAGTAACAAAGAAATTAACGTAGTAAAGATGACTTCAAACCTCATGTCAGTATCATCATTACAGTAAAGTTGAACCAGAAACGTACAAGCACAAACTTAATACAATGAATCTCAATCTAGACTGACACAGGTCTAGTCGAAATTTTGATGCTTAAAATTCAAAACAAAAAGATGGGGGAAAACAAAACGATTTCATTGAACGACTATGCTATGAAGATTAGTTCACAAGAATACAAGTTAATAAAGAACTTGCAAACTATGATACAAAAACAGTTTTCAGAATTTTGACAAGCTTCATCAGTAGGAAATGAAGCCTATACAGAGTACTAAAAAAGATCGCGTATTTAAAAACACTATAGAACAAACATGGATGTCTTAACAAAAATTACGCTGGAGGATTTGGGAACACTTTTGGCTTAGGCTTGACTTCTATTTCATTTACACTGCGTACAAATATTGCATCCGGTTCATGTCTGCAAAAAGAACAAACACGTTTTAGGATTTAGCTAACATGACAACTAGTGAGAGACAGCGAGAGAGTCATTTCTTACGGCTTATCTCCCTCTTCAAACGTGTAACTTGATGCGACAGCCAAAAGACGACCATCTCTGCTAAATGAGAGTGCTGCAATGCTCGATGGGTATTTCGAGTACTGCAGAAGAATAGCGTGATGATAATTATAATAAGGATATTTTCCGCAGGTAAATTTATTGACCATCCCAAACATATACACAACACCCCAACTGTTTACCTGATACAGCCTCTTTTTGTTGTTCCCATCCCACACATTCACGAAACCATCACAACCTCCAGTAGCAAAAGTACCATAACTGCAGTTCAATTAGAAGCAAGTATGAGCAATTAATTATGTGAGTGAGAAGAAGATGCTATATAACTATTTTCAAACCCATAATTTTAACTTGATACTAAACGCTGATTTCATAGAACAATTTATTTCTGAAGTCTTGAGCCAACTTGTAAGTGTAAAATAATCACGCTAGATTGTATCAATAATTTCAAAATTTTCAATTTATAACTGAGTAAAACAAAAACAAAACTGATTTTTTTAAGGACTTCACATTTGAACTCACAAAATGCACATTTCAGAATTCAGTTACACCAAGTTAGCTACATGTTTGCCAGACATACTCTGAAACAGAAAATTCCTTATGGGAATTGTTCAGTGCCAGTGGTTCTTGGCTTCCATTCTCAAGTTGATTTACTACTAAGCTAATTAATTGGCAAAACGCCTACCAATATGTAACATTAACCATTTGATTTGAAACATCCTACCGAATTAAAATTGCTATAACATAAATATTAATGAGACAAGGATCTTCAACAAAAATGCAAAATGACCTGGTATCTTAACTTCTGGCCTCTCATCTCTATGCTGTTTTATCAATAAAAAAATCAACGATGTGACTTAGAAACTTACATAGGGTGAAATGCAATGGCATTTACTGGATAAACAATGTCTCTTCCAGCCTCTGATTTTCGGTGACACTTAAATGCATATCTGCATAACATATAAAATCATTAATATGTAGTTAAACAACAGATGAAAAGACACTCTGTGCATAGCAATAAGTACAAGCATACATGCATCTCTGCCCATTAATGTATAGTCACAAGGAAAAGACCATGACTCGTATCCAACCAATGATAGTAGTACACATCACCTCAGAGGGTGTCATTGTAATTAAACTAAGACAGTATACATAATATACCATAGAAAGACGAAGAAACCCCAGATTTTCTGAGAAGCTGAAAGAAGTCACTCATACTTTTATTTAAGATACCTTAATTTGAAACTTTTTAAAGAAGAATATTTGATGGCTCAATTCAGAAAGAGCAAAAAGAAGAACCAACAATTACCTCAATTATTTGTATTACAGAACTAAAGACAAATGAAAACACTACAGAAAGCAATCAATTCTATATCGTAAAAGAAAATATTAACACATACTTTTTGACTTGACTAGCTTCTGAGAGATCAAAAAACTCCATTGCAACCCGTCCTTCAACAGAACTAAGAGCATATCCTGCATGCAGTTATGTGGATGAAAAAATATAATGTCCAATGGAAGGTAACTAAAGGCAAGAATTAATCATAAGAGACAAATAAATTAGCTACTATCAATTATGAGCTATAATAAGTCCTCATCATGATAAAGGAGTAATCTGCACCTGTTCCGTTAGGGTAACAGCGCACACATCTAGTCTGATACTTCAAAGAAGATTCCCTCCTTTGCTCAGGTTGAGACATATTTCGTAAATCATAGACATTTACATTTCTTCCTGCAGTTGCCACGACTAGACGATTTCCAACGAGGGATAAAGAGTAAACACGCTCAGGTTGAGGGTATGTTCCAACAAGAGTGCGCTCCTGGCCACTTGCACCTCTAGGATCCCAACACTTGAGAGTTTTGTCCCAACTACCAGTAATCACTTGCCCTGTAAGCAATCAAAATACAGAAGGAAATACTATGTACTGAGAATTTTCCACATAGAAAAAAAACAGATAATAAACCCTTCTCCAATCCTATACATTCAATCTCTGAATGAAACAATTTATAGCATCATCACAAATCATTCTAACTTATGAAAAAAGGACATGAAACAATATGATGATAATGACATCTCCAAAATGACTCTGAATAATGATTAACAATAACAATCTCTTACAATAAAGCATCCAGTATTTTACATTTTTATATTGCTCGACTATTAAAACATAAATTTATATAGCTCTTCAAATTCCACAGATCAGTGCTACACCTGTATGTATACCAGTATGCTACAAATACTGAAAATGCATATTAATTATATGTACATTGCTTGAAATTATCAAGTTCTTCTATTGTTATCTCTCAAAGACAATCCAAAAGAAATGACCTAATTTACCAAAAGCATCAGTCACTCAAATCACCACAGAGCACCATTACCAAGGAAAGCAAATTAAATAATAAAGGGAGCTTGTGAACTATAACTGACCTGCCGCGTAAGAGTACTCAACACAACGAACAGGTGCATCATGCCTTCCCAAGATATCCTCTTTGCCATGGTTGAAAACTAGCCTGAAACATTAATACCACAATCTTAAGCTTGACAAAATAGTCAAAGATAATTGACACAACAAAATGAGAAAATTCAGATAGCATAGATGCATCTCATACACAATCAGGTGTATTAGTGCAATCAGATTTAGTTGAGTAACCACCTAACATCTATGAGCATCAATTAGTAATAAGAAACCGCAACCAATCATATGCAAATAAAATCAATTATCTAAACATTCACACAAACAACCATTAGTATCAAGAGATCAGCACACAATTCTTCACAACCAAAGCAAAAAATGAGTCATCATATGTGACGAGAAGAGGGAAGAAAAGGAAGGAGAGATGAAAAATAACTCCCACGGTTCAAAAGAACATGTAGAATGGTCAAAGAAAACTGGGCAAGAAAAACCAGGCACTTTGGTAGATTTGAACGCATCTATAAGTTTCTTTGATATTTTTTTCACTGAGATAGCAGGAATGTTTTCAGTTCATTACCCTTAAAATAATTGTCAAGGAAAAAAGGGCATTCTATTGTGCATTTGTTATGTCAAGCAGCAGTCATCAATAAAAGATGCAAGATTGGATCATTAAGAATCAAGGTGCTAGACCAGCTCACTATGTATAAGCTAATAGCCTAAGTTGATACTAGCCTTGCATTCATTTCTTCTTTGTTCCCGTAACTTCATTGCCAGATACTATGCAGTTAGTATTAGAATTAATGGCATCTGGCCAACAAAAGATATGGGAGTTTTAAGTTTAAAGATAGACCCGGGAAGTGGTGAAATGCAACAACATAAGGTAAGATTCTTGTCATCATCTCTCATACAGAAACAAGTCATTTCATGTCTTTATTACTCATAGAGATCCAACACCATTTTGACTAGTGTTACACTGTTGCTAGATCCATAAAATAAGCATTGTGATACCCATGTACCTTCGTACTGTTTTTCTTTCTCCCTTTTTTATGTTCATCTCCATATCCGTTAAAAGTATTGTCAAAGTACTACTGTGTTCCTCCACCTTGTATCCCACCTTCTACAAGGGAAAGAAGGAAAAATGGACAAAGCAACCTATAAGCATGGTAGTGCAAGACAGGTGGACATTGTCTTCCTTCTAAATTCCCTTTTAACTACATAAAGTACAGAATATTTGCACTTTCAGAAATATGGATGCTAACTTCTTAATATATTATTAACAAATCTAACCTCAAAGCTTAAGCCCATAGTGAAACATTACCTATCATATGACTAGCCTTGTCAAAATCGTAGACTTCATTAGTGTGGAACTCTAACATACATGACATAGAAAATGAACCCGAAATAGTTTCCATTTTAAAAGATAGAATACAAAACACATTCTTTCCTCTTCTTTTCTTCTCCCAGACAAACAATTAATTAAAGTATGTCACACAAATTAAAATTTTAAACTCAAAAGTAAACGTATAATCAATGGTTTAAAGAAAAAGATTCTTTGAGCTTCCTGAAGATTTAGCCAAATTACAAGCAAGGCTCATGATTTTAAAAATTGGCCAAAACCTACATGAAGTTTCATAAAATTTAATAGAAATCTCCCCTGCCTATCTGTTTGTACTTAGACCAAATATTAACCTTAACAGAGGAAAATGCAATATATCTTAATTTAAAAACAGTTCGCAACAAATAAACACAACAATAGTTTAAAAAAAAAAAAAAAAAAAAAAAAATTAAAATGATAATTATCTGAACTCTTGCCGTAGTCCCATAACCACTGAAGTAATATAAAATGAAAAGTTGAACCTTTGGACCTTTGGTATCTTATAACTACATGTTGCATGAAATTTTCTCTAAAGAAAAACTGAAAGAAAGAGTAGACTAACCTTCTGACAGTATGGTCGGCGCTGGCACTGAAGCCAGAAGAGTCATCGTGGAAGCAGCAATCAAGGACGGGCCCGCCATGCATGAACTCTCCTCGCAGAACATTTGTGCTCGCGTCGTACAATCTCACACTCTGTATCACCGATCAAAACAATTAGCTCTAATTTTAATTAATTTAATAAATAAATGTTGAGGTCAGAGGTAGGTAAGTGAGAGTGTATGTACCTTATCCCATGAGGAGACAAGCAGGTGATCGTTGTGGTTGGAGAAGCGAAGGTTGGAGATCCCGTCGGCCGGCGGGTTGGCGAGCTCGCGGCCGGAGGTCGGAGGCGGGTGGACAGCTGTCATCTCCTGATTGGTTAGGAAATGCCAACGGAGAGAGTCGTTAGGGTTGTGCAACGAGCGACAGAGAGAGATAGAGAGAGAGGGAAGGAGATTTGAAATGAGGAAGTGAGAGTTATATCTATCTAGTTCTAGTGAGGTTTTTTTTTTATTTATTCAAAAAAAATTTGAATTTAAAATGTCAAACCTGATAGAGTGGGACTGTGAGAGAGTGAAGGTGAAAGCTGCTCAAGTTTGGGCCTTGGGGGGCTCTTTCGGCTTTTGGTGGGTTAAACAACTAAGGGCTTTTGTCTTTTGGTGTTACTTCATTTATTTATTAAAATTTTTATTTTAAAATAGGGAGGTGATTTTTAGCCCAACCAAATTATCTTCACTCCCACTTTTAAATTTATTTTTTAGTTTTATAAATTTAACCTTGATTTAAATTATTAGAAATAACATTATAATTTTTAAATATACCCATATTATATTTTGATATTTTTGTTTTAATTTTTAATATTTAATCTTACATAAACCCTAACCCCAAATTTTCAAATCATAGTTCAATAGTAAAGATTTATCACAAATTTTTGAACAATGATATGAGAAATTTAATATTGAGTGTTAACCCTAAAATATAAATTAGAATAGTAATTTTTATTTTCTTGAAAATTTATTAATCAATAAATTGGATAATTAAAAAAGCCATTTTTGAGAAATAAAAATTGTAGTTGTGTTTTCGGAAAAGCCGAATGAGCCCCTGAATGTGATGTGATACGTATATTGTGAAGAAATGATGATTGTATTATATAAGAAAAATGCTATCCTTACAAAGACTCATACAAAGAGGGCTACAAAGTGACATCATCCAGAAGAAAAAAACAAAGAAAAAACTGAAAAAGAGAAAGAGAGAGAGAGAGAGAAATCATGAAAATCAAGGTTGGGGATTGTCTTTGTATGCCTCCTTTATATGTGTCTTTGTAAAACTAGCATTGCTCATTATATAAATGAATACGATAAGTTTGTATATACCAACCTGAATTTCAAATTCAAATGTGGGTTTGAAAAAGATTTATTTGGAATACCATTGATGGTATTGGGACCATCATCGGATACTTTTTTATAGTAACTTGATTCAAATTGAGATTTCGTACCCAAACATCTTACTCTTACAGTACTATCAAAATCTTATTATTGTATTGATAGCTTCTGGCTTGTATGAATAAACTTATAAGATGTGCACTACATATACATAAACAAATTAATGTGACACTATTTTTTTTTTTTTAATGACAGGAGGTGTTTGAATATGTTTGTGTGCATCTCAATTAATCTCTCAAAACTCTAGAACTATCAACCAAGTAAGAGTTCCAATAACTACCACTATTAGGGGTCGTGGGAACTTAAACTTCGTAGACCAGTTAGATCTTCTCCTTACTCTTTTACCATAAAAAAAAAAAAAAAAAAATTAATATTGGGAAACTATGTTAGATCCTCGTTTATTCTTTTACTATCAGCTTACCTAGTAGTGGTTACTATTCTTTTATTGACGTATCACTCATTTATATTTATTAAGCACATAATGAGTTAATTTTTTTTATATATTCATCTCTTCACTTCATGACATATCAGTTTGTACGAAAGAATTTGTACATCTAGTATTACTTAACTTAAAAAATAAGATAGAAATATTAAGGAAGCCTGAAGTAGAGGCTTATAAGAAAGTGAAGTGAAAGAGAAGGCAAAAGAGGTACAAATTCTCTATCATTTTTATTCATTTCTCTTTATTTTCTTTCTATTTAAACAGTCAATTACCATAAATGTCATTAAAAAAAAAAATCATTAAAATAAAATACATCTTCTATAATATATACATGAGTGTTTCAACCTTTAGGGAAAAAAAAAGAAAAAAAGAAAAAAAAAAAAGCCAATTTTTATTTCTTCTACGGCTCAAATTGTGAAATCCTTTAAATTTCTAAATTGTGGGGCGACGTCGTAAAATTATTATGGGCCTCAAATTGTGAAATCCTTTAAATTTCATAATATCTCCTATTATATCAGGAAACTGTTCAATATATGAAACTTTTTAATATATTAAAAATACATTATAAATATAAAATCCTCTTGAGAGGATTATTTTTTAATTGTTTTTAACATATAGTTAGGATAAATTTTTCCAGCATTGGAATCCGGTAATGGCTTTTTTAACTTTTGTAAATTATTTAAAAATAAATATTATAAATATCAAGTTAAAGGTAAATAACGTAAATAAATTGTTATTAATAAATACTTGGTTAAAAATTTAGTTGAAAAATAAATATAGATTAATACAGTGTAATAATGCACCAAACATCAAACTATGTTTCGTATAATATTATAATAAAACCAGCCTGTATTAATGTCTTTAAAACAAGAATAATGATAAATTTACACTACTTTTTTACATAATTTTCATTACATTATGATGTGACATATGCCACAACCACACAAATTCTATTATAATATTAAAAATTCAAAATAATTAAAAATTTGTGTGGTTGTGACATATGCCAAATCATGATGTAATGAATATGATGTAAAAGAATGGTGTAAATGTAACATTACTCTTGAAACAAAGTATAAGATAAATTAAATTTTTTAATAAATATAATTTAAAATCAGCTTTATAAAGAGTTTTGGAGTTAAATAATAGGGAAATTAAATAATTAGCCAAAAGTTAAGGGGCTATAAAATTTGACCAACTCTCCCAACCCTATTTGTGTTCTAATTGCCTACAAGACCTCCTTGTCCGACATTAGAATAGTCCGTGCAAAAGAGAAGGGTTACTCGTAGCTTCTCTTCGATTGTTTGTTTACCTTTGATCCAATCATTTTAGTTCTCTCACATTCCCATACCATGGAAGTCTTTTATCGTGTTTTAGTCATTCTATTTTCCTCGCTCAGAAGGGGCCTATAAAACCCTCGAAGAGGTAAGCTGAGTCCTCTATCTTAAAACTTCCTGTAATGTACCATCCCGTTGAAGTTGATTTCACATAAGATGATTGATTGGATACCTTGATACTGCTCTTTGGTCTACTCATATAACCAACAAATGTCATTTTTCTGAAATTACTCTTATCTATAAACAAACTTTTCTTCCATTTAAAAAAGAAAGGGGTTTGGAGAGTTTTTCTTATTTTCAAAAATCCAATACATTAATCACAATCAAAGATGACATTAATTTTTTAAGGTGACAAGATTTCTTGCAATATTACGATTATCGACTGAATCTGTGCTGGGGAGAAAGAATTGAACTTGTTAGTATAAGTTGTTATGATTTAGGATAGATGTTACGGTATAGGGTTAAGGTTTAAAATTTTTATAGCTTTAGTGAATCTCATTAGTGTGTTTATATGGACGTTGTTTTTGTGATTGATTTCAGTTAGGAGTGTTGAGGGCTTGTTTGATTGATTTTGGGTTAGATTTGCTTCTGTGACATTTAGCAAGATTTTCTCAGTTTGTGTGATTTTTTATGCTAACCAAGGGAAAAATTGCCTGTTTTGGGAAAACTTACGATAGCCCAAGGAAAAATCATGCTAGGTGGAAATGTGTGTTTGTGTGTGTTTTTGTTTCAAAGTGTTGAGAGATAAGTGATGATGATAGTTTGATATTTGATTAAGTTGGTTATAAAGGTATAACATGGGAAAGTTGGTTAATTAATAACATCCCCAAATTTTGGCTAATTTAATTAATTTCCTTAAATAATATTATTATGCCAGAAAAAGTAGGACTGACGTGGAGCCTCGTCAGTAAAGGATGGTTAGAGTTCAGAAGGGTTCTGTGCCGTCTAGGTGCGGTCACGTCGCACTTAGAGCAAGTGGCATGGCTTCTATCAGTGCAGTAGGTGAGTGCCAAGCCAGCAAGCAGTTGGAGATCGCCCACGTGTCAAAGCCCTACTTTAATCGAGGAAATCCCTTGGACAGGTGATCAATGGGATGCAAAGAAAGGATTTGCACGGCACCTACCCTCTTGCAGCTTTCATAATGATTTCCTTGAACTTTCCCATTATAAATAGAGGACTTCCCTCTCATTTGAAAAAATTACCTGATTTTACACTAAAATAACTCTCTTTCTCTCTCTAAACTGTAACTTAGCTCGCGGAACACGACCTGATCTCTCTCTCTTATTAATACAATAGCAGTGGATGTAGGATTCACTTTAGAGCATCCGAACCACTTTAAATATTGCTCTTCACCTTTTATTTGATTCAATCCCCTCATATCACGTGTGACTTCTAAGTCATTTTAGCTTTTTACACGTAGAGTAGTTGGTGTCAAAATCAAGCATCAATAGTTTGGCGCTAGAATGAGGGCTTGATTTAGTACCTACTCTTCATCAAAAAAATCTCTGACTAATCGGTCCCACAACAACAAATGGCTCGCGATTTTGAATCTGAGCGAACCAATTATGGCAATGAAGAAATCCCCCAGATCCTGGAAGACACTTTTCTCAAAATGCTGCCAGTCTAGCAGAATATCACGAGGGATATTCCTTTAAGCTCACGGCTCGACCCAATCGTCATGAGTTACCTGGAGAGGTTCAATAATACTCTTCAAACGGTCCGCCAAAGGCTAGACCGATTGGATCGGGTCATGCAACCTGAATCCAATGAGGCGGTGCCACCGCCAAAAACGCCTGCAGGTAGATTACCCGTGGCATTGCGACTTGGCGATATGTTGCAACATGAGTCGTCCCGCGCCACGATGCACGGGCACTCCCATAAAGGTGCAAGGCAGGGAGATTCCCAATATCGCCAAAGTGACGACTTCGGTCGTCATCGTGTAGGGGATTCCCATCCTCCGCGGGTTGGTTTGTACCACCGTAGAATTCGGTAAGACTCCTCGAATCACTCGGCTTTAGCCAGCATGTGCGGAGATTGGCCAGAGCTTCCAACCAAGGTGAGGAATAGTCTGATTTGCGGTCTTTCATTAACCGCAACTGTGAGGGTCGAACCCACGTTACGAAAAGTGATGCTCAGGTAGCTTTGCTACCTCAGATTGAGGAACTACAGCAAGCTCTGGATCAGCTTAAGGCTCAGCAAAATGAGCAAAGGCAGGTCGTAAAGGCGTCTCCCTTTTCTCCGGTACTGTTAGCTGCCCCTCTCCTATCGAGATTCAGAATGCCAACATGCTAGCATTTGA